CCTCCAAACCGGAGCTTCTCCGCGACTGTTCGTCACAAGCCCTCCCCCTCCCCGCCACTGATCTGGCTTGTGTCACCCGAAAGCTAACGCCGCGTCCCTTCGTGCCATTGTCTCTCCCGGGTCCTTTCGCGCCCCGGCGACCGCAGGGGATCTTTGGGGTCCACTTATTCTGTGTCTGGCCCTTGCCACGTGCGTCCGCGCGCGCGCGCGCGCGCTCTTTCACACATACACACACACACACACACACACGCACATATACCCACATACACCTGCTTCTTGGATTCTAATGCGCATGCTGCCCTGCCTTCCCTTCCTCCATATGCACACACACGCACACACACACAATAGTATTCTCTCTTTCACTGCTCCCCAGCAGCAGGCGGCTGTCGTCTTCACCATCGTCTTTGTCATTGTCTGGATTGGCGCCGGCATCGTCACCCTCAATGCCAAGCTTCTGGGAGGCAATGTGTACGAACCATGTGGCTGCGAATCATGTCCCCTCTTTTGATGCAGACGCGCACGCGCGCATGCGCACACATGCACGCGCAGAGATGCACATGCTAATCAGGACCTGGCCCCACCTCCTCGCTCTTCGCAAATAGCTCCTTCTTCCAGACCGTTTGTGTCCTCGGCTACTGCCTCCTCCCGCTCGACATCTCGGCCCTGGTGTGCATGTTTGTCAGCATCGTGCCCGTGCGGCTTGCTGTGGCCAGTGTTTGCACGGCTTGGTCAACATACAGTGCGTCTTTCCCACTTCCAGCCATCCATCGCGGTGCATGTGCATGGCAAATATGGCCATGGTCACGCACACACACACACACACACACACACACACACACACGCACACATCCCCAGACATACATACATACAACATATGTGTATACAAAGGAATGTCCACTCACACAGGCTACAATCCCCCTCCCGCGGGACAGTTGCCCTCACCTTCTTGAACCACCTGAAGCTGCAAAACCGCCGGGCACTGGCCGTTTATCCCCTCTTCCTCTTCTACTTCATCATGGGATGGATGGTTGTCATCAGCAAGAGCATCATCTAAGGCGCCACCATGAGGGGGCCAGAACAGGAGGCAGGCTGACCGTGTGGTGCCTGGCCGCCCGCATACCCTGCGCGAGCACCACCACACGCATCCCTTTCCCACTTTGTTTATGCCCCCCCCCCCCATGGAAAGGCAGGATCAGCCGCACGGCGCCTCCTCCCCCGACCCGAAGGATCACCCGAAATACAAATACCAACAAAATCAAGACCACTTCCTCTTCACATGTACGCAGAGGAGGTACCTGGCGCGGATGGACGTGATGAGCAGGGGCGCCCTGGTGGCCATGTTGGCAGATGGGGCCTGGCCGCATCGCGCTCTCTCTCTCTCTCTCTCTCTCTCTCTCCTCCGGCGATCAGTGCCAGAGCACGGCGCACGCCCTGCTTGCCTGGATTGATGCCCAAGGATCTGATATTTAAGCCCAGAACCCCGTGTCATGTGACCAGATCAACGAACTGCGCCCGGCCGCTGCTTCATCTCTGATGAGTCTCGCGAGGGAAACCACACCCTCAAACTTGTGTGGTTTCCCTCTGTGCTAGCCTGGCCTCCGGTCCGGTTCCTCCCCCCTCGGCCGTCTTGCTCCGACCCGGCCGAAACGCCCTGGTCAATGGTCCGGGGCGGCCTTTTCGGTGACCGGCATTACGCGGCGACGCGCCCCCGTGCTCCTGACAGAAGGTTTGACACCCCCTCCCCTTGCCCTCCCCTCCCTCTCTCTCTCCCTCTCTCTCTCCCCCTCTCCCCCTGTCTCTCTCTCTCTCTCTCTCTGCCCCTCGCCCCACTGTTCCGTGTGCATAGCGCCTCTGCTCCCCTCTCCACCCGCCAACCATGTCGATGTACATGCCTCCCGCCTTGATGGAGTACTTCGCTCCGATGGGGGACCTGCCGACCCCCACGCAGTTGGATCGGTCACCGGAATGCCGCCGCGGCCCGGAGCTGACTCCCATTGCTGATGCGCTGGAGCTTTGCAAGGACAACCCGGTCCCGCCGCTCCCCGAAGGCACCCCAGTCTGGGTAAATGCGGACACCCGTCGAGCCCTGAAGAAGAGCATCCACGATAGCCAGGTCAAGCAGGAGATCGATCGCGGCACCGAGGAGTACAAGAACCGGCCACAGGACAGCCCGGAGTACTCGTCCGACGCCTTCAAGACCCTGTTTGTACGCACGCCAAAAGCCTCCCCGTCCTCTCTCTGTCTCTCTCTCCCTCTCCCTCTCTCCCTCTCTCCCTCTCTCCCTCTCTCCCTCTCTTCCCTTCCTCCTTTGCTCCTCCCATCCCGGACCATCGCTTTTGACGGGCCCCGACCTAACTGCCCTCTCGCTTTTTGATGCTCACCGCATCTCCTGCTTCTCTCTCTCTCTCTCTCCCGCTCCCACAGGTTGGCCGTCTGCCCTACAGCCTCAATGAGGCCGGCCTCTCGGGGCATTTTGAGAAGTTTGGCCGGATCCGGTTCTGCCGGATTGTCCGCTGCAAGCGCACCGGGAAATCGCGCGGCTACGGCTTCATCGAGTTTTCCAGCAGCAGCGACCTTACTCGCGCTTTCCGCGAGGGCGACTCCATGCACATTCGCGCCAACATCGAGGGCTACTACGAGCCTGGCGAGACCCCTTCGCCCGACCGGACGTGCGTCGTGGATGTCGAGCGTGGCCGGACTGTGGCCAACTGGCTTCCCCGGCGCCTGGGTAAGGGGCTGGGCTCGACGCGCCGTGGTGCGGCCGCTGTCAACCAGAAGCATCCGGGCCGTGATGGCCCGCCGGAAACCCGGTACGCCCCCCCTCCCCGGGCACACCTGTCGATCTCTCCATGTGACACAGCTGACCTCCCTTTCCCTCGACCCCCTTTTACCAATCCCCTTAGCGCCTCTGATCGGAGCGCCCCCGTTGTTCGCGAGCACTCTCGCGACCGGTACCGCCACGACCGCGCTGATCGGGGTGGCTACCGTGGCGATCGCCACCGCCGCTGAATGCCGACACACGGCAATACCACGCGCTTCCCCTCCCTTCTCCCCCTCCCCCCCCCCCCTGCTTTGGGGACCACCTACTCGGCGGAGAGAGGGGGAGAGGGGCGGAGGAAAGAGATCTCCTGTTTACAGGCAGGAAACATGCGAGACATCATCTGCGCTTCCTACACACCCCCCCCCCTCCCTCCTGCTCTCCCAGCACGCAGCCCTACTCGCTCACGGCTCGCCTGTAGTGGAAGAAAGGAAGAAACTACACAAAAAGACACACATACCCATAATATACACCTATACAACACGGACCACGTCCGCGCGTCCTGCCCTCCTCCGCGTCGGCCTCCGTCGCAGCGAAAGATGTGCACACCGAGGAGGGGAAAGGTGCGAAGGGAAACATCAGCTTTGCAGGAGGCGGCGCTCGTCGAACGTCTGCCGCTCCTGCTGGCCAAACACCCAGGGCAAGATGAAGACGGCCTCCGGGGCGGGGGCGTGGCTGCGCCGGAAGGGGGCTGGCACAGCGGCATGGCTAGCAAGTGCCAATGAAGGTACATTTGGTTAACTCATCTTTCGCCTAAGGTGCCTTCGAGGGCGAGATCGTTGGCTTCTCGGACGACGGTCCGGCTTGGCCAGAATCGTGGGCAGGTCCCAGTGGCCGGCCCTCCTGGCACGGCCGGGCGCCCTGGCCATGGGCACGGGCAGACAGGCTCCGATGGGGGAATGCGTGCTGCAATGGCAGTGGCTCTGCTTGGTGCGGCAATTCCAGGAGAGCACTCACGCCCAGGAGGGACAGTAAACTTGATCAGAGGCTGAGGGACTGGCGGAGGACACCCCCGGAGGGAGGCCCGCCGGCGGGCTTTCTAGCAGCCCGACTCGAGCCCCTCACGTTACCAGTATCATGTGCCCAGCCGCTGCTGGATGCATGGCCGCAGGACTCCCAAGCTGGAGCGGAGACACTGCTGGGCCCCCTTCCGACAGAACCCAGCCTCCCCATGCAAACGGACCAGCAGCGCCACGCCCTGTGGGTGGGTCTGCATCTCTTTGAAGACCGTGCATCCTCCCCGCGCCGCACGAGGAGAAAGAAAGATGAGGGAAATAGCCCGCGCCCACAAAAGCCGGGCAGATTAGTCGGAAAAGCGCTCCCATGTTTGACGCGCGCGCGTTGGGGGGAGGAGGACGGCCCAAGCTCGATGCCCATACCACCCAGGAAAGAGAAGAAAGGGACATCATCTGGGTACAAACGCCCAGAAAAAAGTGCCCCTGCCCACAGCTCGGCTCCTCCTCTCCTTTTGTTGGCCGATCGCCGCCCTGCACTCCCCCCCCCCATGCCTCCCTCCCGAGGAGAACAGGCGGAGAGAGAGGGGGGGAAGGCCGCGCGCGAGGGCAGGAGGAAAAAGCCTCCACATCCCCCCCGCCCGAGGAAGACATCACACGCGTGCCAGGAGGGCGCAAAAAAGAAGGACGATCATGGACAGGACTCTCCCTCCCCCCCGACAAAGCCGCGCATCGAGAGAAAAAGTCCGGCAGAAGGAGAGTGGGGTGCGCGGATGGTTGAACCCACACACAGCAAGGAGAGCTCTCGCTCTCCCCGCCCTCTCCCGCCTCCTCTGCGTCCTCCCTCTCCTGGAGAAAACACGAGTTGAAGGAGGGAGGGGGGGCGCGCGCGCGGGAAAAGGACCGAGAAAAAAGACAAAGACAAGGAGAAAACACACGACACGGGGGATGGGAGAGGACAGAGAGAAAGGAGGTGTATCGGAGAGAAGACGGGGGAGAACACGCGCGGTGGTGCACGGCTACATCGCTCTGTCGTTGCCAAAAGGAGGCATATTTAGGCAACGGTCTGCTCCTTGGCCTTACCGGCGGCACGGACCTTGAGAAGCTTCTCACGGTTCTTGTCGAGGTGGAGCTGAGTGATCTGGAGGTTGGAGGCGTCGATCGGGACGGGGATGAGGGACTCATCGGCCTTCTTCTTGGAGGCACCCTCGACGTAGACGCACATCTTCAGGCGGTAGACCTTGACGACCTTGCCGGAGATACCCTTGAACTGGCCGGTCTTGATGGTGACAACATCGTTACGGCGGATGGGCAGGGAGCGGATCTGTGTGTGTGTGTGCGCGCGCGGCGAAGACGACGGGGGGGGGGAAGAATCGGCAACGAGAAACGGGTCAGCAAACGCGAACAGAAAAGGAGAGAGGGGAACCAAGGGGAGCACAGCATCGCCTTGCATGCAGCGAGACGACAGGCGAGGGGAATCTCTCACGTCGCGCGAGGGGGGACAGAAGAGAGAGTGGCCTATCTCGCGCCCCTCTCGCCCCCACCCCTCGGAGGGCGGAGATTCCCCTCCCCCGCTGCTGGTAAGTTGTGCAAAAGGAGGCGACAAAATGCGCATGTATGCGAGGACGCACGCCGTAGCTGGCGCGCAGCTCCTTGGACAGAGCAGAGCTCATGAGGAGGCGGCGGGCATGAGAGGGGGCGGTGAAGTGGGCCTTGCGGCACTTGCGACGAGAAGAAGAAACGTCTGAGAAGGAGGCGGTCAACATGGTCAGCATACAGGGATCGGGCGACAGAGGGAGAGCGGCACCGGCGGATGCAGGGTGCTCGGGGTTGCATCCGACGGAGATGCCAGGGGTGGCTCATATAGGCGGCCAGCGTGGGCAGGTGGAGCGGTCTCTGCCTCCACCGGGAGCGTGAGCGGCAAAACGCCAGCTCACGCGTCCCCTCCCCAACACACACACATACACACACACACACTCGCTCGCGCGCGCGCGCCGAACCGAGCATGGCGCCCGCACCCGGCCTAACAGCAGGCAAGAAACGGGAAGGGCACACGCGGAGACTCGCAACACCGCACGGAGGAAGCCGCAGACACAGACACAGAGGGAGCACACACACACATACACACGCGCGTGCGAGACAGCGCCCTAGACCCGGGAAGGGCGCATATCCCGCTCCGCAGCACACACACACACACGTAACAGGCGCAGGTACGCGGATGGGACAAGTTCCTCGAGACGTCCACCTAGCGTCGAAGAAAGGGAGGGAGAGAGAGACAGGCACATCCTTGCAGCCACAGAACCGGGGCGATGCGCCAGCCGCGCGGTCAGTGCGTAGACCATATCTCTCTCCCTCCAGGGGACGTGTGCGCATGTGCCTATAGATGCCGTGTGTGTGTGTGTGCGTGTGCGTGCGCGTGCGCGTGTGCCGGAGGACTCCTGGAAGGCGTGTACGCGCGCAGCGTGTCACCCCAGACCTTGGTGGGGGTGACACGTGCGCGGCATGAAGCCTCCGGTGCGTGCGTGTCCATGTGTGCGCTTATGGGGGTCCTTCCAGCGAGAGGCGAGAGAAGAGGGGGGGGGATCGGATGCGCGCGTGCGTGTGCGTGTGCGTGTGCGTATGTGTGTGGCCAGGTGTGCCCCGCCAGAGACAGCGAGACGCGCCAGCGCCGGAGGGGCGCGGGGAGGGAGGCGGGAGAGGAGGAGAGAGATGCAAAGGGGGAGGGGGGGGGAAAGCAGCAAAGGAATGGTAGAGGGAGAGGAAGAGAGACGAAGACGAACCCTTGCTGAACTTCATCTTCGAAACTAAACCGATGTGAAGTAAGTGACAGGCAAAAACAACGCAACGGGTACGAGAACCTCTTCTCGTGCCGAGAAGCCCCAGAACACCCCCTCTCGAAGGGCCCTGTGGCGCGTTTGCGCCGGCCCGGCGCCGCCACAACACGAGTTCTCACTCTCCAAGAGGCCGGCCATCCCCCGGGGCCGGTAAAAAAGGGCGCCTCCTACGCCAGGGGCCCCGCTGGTGCCACACACCGGGGAGCGGCCAGTCCCGCCCTCCCCCCCCGCACACCCACCCACCCTGCGCCCCACCCCCCTCCACACACCCCCGTTCAGCTTGCCCGCGCCCGCCCGCCCGCCCGCCCACCCGGCGGTCCACCCGGCCGCCCCTCGGCCCACGGAACGCCGCAGGGGCCGAGGCGGGCCGGAACACACGCACACCCCCTTCCTCCCCCGAGCCCTTGGCCCGGCCTCGGAGGCCCCTCCTCTTGTTCGCAGACATGGCTGGTCCCAAGGGGGCGGAGGCACGGGGCGGGGGGGATGAGGAGCATACAAAGCTCGGCCTCCATAACTGTCCCTTGCCCGCGGCCTCTGGCCCAACGCGAACACACATTCTCCCCCACCCTGCCCCGAAGGGATGTCCAGGCGACGCGGGCCGCGATTCAGGAAGAGAATTCCCCCCCCCCCCCCTCTCGCCGTGGCAAACACAGGAGGCTCCCTCTCTGCGGACCTCTCATGGAAGTCCATCGCGTGGACCGGATCGACTTGCCCTTGCCCCCAGGCGAAAGAAGAGAGATCACAGCCGAGGGACAGGGAAGGCCCTCCGATTTTGCGGCTGGCTGACACACACGGCCTCCGCCCCCTCCCCTCCCCCGCGGGGCATGAACACACCATAACCAGGGCGATCCTGGCGAGGGTGCGTGCAAGCGGCCGGGTGGAAATGCACCGGAGCGGTGCGCTGGTCCTTTGGTCTCTCAGCCGCGGCCTGGATCCGGTTCTTGATCATCCACAAAAATATGTTGAATAATATTCCTCCTATGCTTTATGCCGATGGTTCCCTCCTTCCTGGCTCACAGGCAGACCAACGAAACGGGGCATGCGGCTTGCCGGCGGGGCACTTGCAGAGGAGGAGGCCCGGGGGAGGCGCCTGGAGATTGGGATCTTTTTTGATTCGACACCCCGGCGAATTTCCCGTAGCCCCAAACTTATTTTCTCCCGAGGGATCAGTTAAGGCCATTAGCCGGCGCGATTCGTCCAATGGCGTTGGCTGCCGGGATCGTGTTTTCTTTTGACTCCCGCCGATCCTTCACGGCTCTCCTTGTCGACCGGCGAGTGGCTGCCCTTTTTCTCCGTCTTGTCCAGGAAGAGCGCTCAAACTGTTGTCCGAGGAGCGGGGAGGGGTCAGGCCGTGGGGGGCGATGGGGTGTTCTCATCGGCACGACTTGCCGAGGCCTCGCTCCGAAGACCGTGGGTCAGAGACCGCCTCTTGTGCATTCTGGAGCGAGGAGCACAGGGACTGCTCATCCAAAACGGGCATCCTGTTGGGCCCCACAGAGACGAGCTTGCCCGCCCTCTCTGAAGTTGCACCAAAGTGGGCGCCCTCGGCCCTCTCCGTCCGGAGGGTAAACCACTTCACCTCTCCCCCTTTCCTCCTTGTTTCCCCCCCCCCTTCCCCCCACACGTCCCTGTAGTTCCGCGACCCCCTCTCTCGTTCTTTGCGCCCCGCCTCCCCCCCCCGCTCCGCCCCGTTCCACAGCTGGATGGCCTCCTCAGTCGCCACTACACCCGCCACCATGCAGCACGTTATTTCCTGCCATGAGTGCCACACTCCGGTGGAAATCGACCAGAAGATCGTCAACCTGGCCACCTCCTTCGCCAGCCAGCGCATGGCCAGTGGGCACCTCCCGCGTGCGTCGATGAATTGTTCCACCTGCTGGTGCCCCGCCGAATCCCCGCGCTGATGTCTCCCCTCCCCCAGTCGAAGCCGATGACTTCATCGAGATCTCCGGCAACGACTTGGCCGATACGCCCGGATCGGTTAATTTGCCCGAAGATATGGATGAACGTCGCCGCATCATTGATGCTGCCATCACCATGTTCTTCGATTCCCTCTCCAAGCAGACACTGATCAACCATCCACTTTGCCACAGTGTCCGTGCTACCTCCCCCCC